AGAAGACGAGGATTGCTTTGAGGATAGTATTGGTGATGAGCTACCGGTTGCTAATCAAGCATCTGAACCTGCACTACACCGTGGCCAAAGAAGGCGTGACCTTCCCGATAAGGTTCTTGATTTCTTCACCAGTTATACCGCCGATACTGCATCTAGATGTTCCTGAAAATTTTAAGGACATTTATGGAAGGCCGGACAAGGATTAGTGGTTTATTGCAGTTAACGAAGAGCTAAAATCGATGCAGGACAATAATGTATGGGAAATAGTAGCTCCTCCCAAAGGTGCAAAATTGTTATCATCAAAATGGGGTTTTCGAACGAAAATGGATGAAAATGGGAATTTGGTGCGTCATAAAGCAAGACTGGCGGTGAAGGGTTTCCTACAAAAAGAAGGAATCGACTATAATGAGACCTGTTCTACTGTTGCGAAGTTTGAGATGTCAGATTGTGGTCCATTAAGATATTTCTTGAGTATGAAAATTGGAAATTCAAAAAATGGTGTGCAACTATCTCAACAAACAAACATTGAAAAAGATTTGGAAAAATTCGGAATGTCAGAGTACTACCCAGTGAAAACTCCAATGGAGGAAAATATACATTTGATTTCTAGAGAAGACCTAGGTTCTTTGGAAAAACCATACAGAGAGCTTTTGGGTGGCCTCATGTATATAATGCTATGTGTACGTCCCGATATTTGCTTTGCTGTTGGATATATGGGTAGATTTCAACAAAACCCATCTGATAAACACTGGCAAGCCCAAAAGAGGATCGTGCGGTATATAAAAGGTACAAAAACGCTAAATTTGGAGTTTAGAAATGGAAATGGTTTGCCATTAGTTGGATACGCAGATGCTGATTGGGCTAGTGATACAATTGATAGAAAGTCAATTAGTGGTTATGTCTTCAAAGTATTTGGTTGTACTGTATCTTGGTCTTCGAAGAAACAAACAACAGTATCTACCTCTTCGAGTGAAGCAGAATACGTGGCCATCAGTGAAGCTATTTGGATCAGAGGATTACTCAAGGACTTGTACCAAATCAATGATGAACCTGTGATTATATATGAAGATAACAAAGGGTACATTGGAATGGCAACCAATATCGAATCTAAAAGATCCAAACATATAGATATCAAACATCATTTTATAAGAGACAATGGCGCATATTCATAGTCATATTTAGTATTCAACTAAGACGAAACTATTCTAAGTCACAACTAAAGCTATTCATAGTCGCCTTAGTTTCGACTTTTCTGGCTAAGTACCAACTTAAAATCCAGTTTCGGCTGCAGCTGCAACTAAGTCGTAACTAGGAAGAAGTACTTTATCAAATTAAGGGAAAACAGATGAAATATGTAAAAATTAAGTTGGTAGAGGGTGATTTTGATAATATTGAATAATCTCCAATTAAAATTTACAAAGATCGATCCATTTTAATCGGAAGATGAAATTAAATGCGTATTACAATTCGAATAAAGCTACATCACAATTTTATAATTGGAATAATTTAGATAAACTCTCAAATAATAAGTCAGTTTCACGCTAGTTCTTTTAAAGTAAATTTGTGCATAACGTTTAGATATCTACTATTTGTATGTTTCACAGCATGCTTTCGGTAAACATCGACTTCACATCACTGCGGTTGTTCTGGCTATTTCACACAATTAACAAGAAAATTATACCTTATTCTTTTGCATAATCATGCAATGAAAATAAAAATTACATAAACGGATGATCAAACTTCACATTATTTAATAAAAATGTAATTTTTCCAAAATATCGTAAAGAAAAATCGATACATTTTCACACTCGTTTTGCTATATCGTAAAATAAGTCGAAACTACTCAGTAGAAGTCTGAAATGCGACTATGAAAAGAGGTAAATTTTAAGTTGGTACTTAAATTTAAGTTGCAACTTTGTTAGTTTCGACTTAGTTGCTGGACTATGAATACGCGCCAATATTGAAAGCGGAATAATCAAATTGAAATCAATTGGAACTAAGGATCAACTCGCAGATGTGTTTACGAAGGCTCTGGATGTCACGATATTTAATGAAATGCGTTTTAACCTAGGACTAACTGATTGAGAAGGGGTGTTGAGTTTTAATTTGCTTTTGTCCAACCTCTTATGTGTTTGTAAAAAACTAGCAATCGTTGTCCTAATGTAATAGACAATTTTTTCACGTTCTGAAGTTTTCTTCACTTCAATTCGAAACTTAAAACTGCTAACATCAAATAAAATTTTTTCCATTGGTTATAAAAGTCTTTATTTTGGTTTATTAGATATTTATGATATAAAATGAAGTGCTGTGTGATTGGAACAAGTTTGTGCGTATGTTTGGTTTGCCAAAAGGCGTAACTATGCGGAAAAGTGGGTGCACGTTTGTGGCCAGAACGTTGGCATTGAAAAATTGACCCGTGGTAATGATATGCGATTGTAAAACACTTTCAATCATGAAAACCATATTTTATGAAATTTTTTTGCTAATTCTTATCAAGTTTCACTTTGTATATTTTATAATAAATACCAATTTAATCGCACTCAATCACCGCGCCTTTTTTGTTTTCTTTGTTTGTTTTTATTCTTATGCAGATGTCAAAAACGCTCAGAAATTTACTTTTTTCTTCTCATTTTTGTTGTTGGTATTTCCGACAGGGTAGGAGTGTGATGTAATTTGGAACGATTTTCCGTCAACCGAAACCGGTTTGTCTCCAAACCAAATTTGACAAGGGATGACGGAAAATCGTTCCACATTACATCATACTTTTTTCTTGCTTCTTTGATTAGGTGATCTTGTATTTTTGGTTTATGGGTATGAACTTTCCTCGATAGTCATGTACTGTCGATAGTCAAAAACCATCGATACTATCGATAGTCCCATTTATAGTTTTGGAGTTCTAATAAGAGTGCAATCTGTGTTTCAGAAATTATACCCTCCAACTGCCAAATATAAACATGACTCCTTCAATCGACGATGCGTTGATAACAAAACAGACACTACATCCTGGCAAAGAATACATTTCATTAAAGCCTGGCACCCGTGTAAAATTCCATTTCCAAACGCGCAAAGCCTACGATGGGCAGTTGCTGGACGACAGCCGTGCAATGAGCCATCCAATGGAGCTGGTACTTGGTAAGAAATTCAAATTGGAAGTCTGGGAAGTTATTGTACAAAAGATGGCACTCAATGAAGTCGCTAAATTTACTGTACATAAATCCGTGAGTGCTTACACAATAGTATACCATAATTTAATAAAAAGTGCATGTTTAGCTTGTCGCCCAATACCCCTTCATCTCGAAAACATTGCGAGATGTTTCAAAAAACACACACGAAAGAAGTCACTGTTGTGGAATGACGTTACAGAACGAAGGAATCGGTTACAAAGACCTCGATGACCTTCTTGCAAAACCATGTGATTTGGAATTCATCATCGAATTATTCTCGATTGAACACCCAGAAGAATACGAGAAGGAACGTTGGCAAATGGACGATGCAGAGAAAATGAACGCACAAGCAGTATTGCGGGAAAAGGGTAATCAGTTATACAGAGAAAAAAAGTATAAAGAGGCAGAGGAATGCTATTGCAAGGCTGTGGGTATGATTGAACAACTTATGACAAAGTGAGTAACCACAAACTTGTAAGGCTTACCAAATTTATATACGTACATATATATGTATATTATCTTTTAGAGAAAAACCGCACGACGAAGAATGGCTGGCATTAGCTACAATCAAAGTTCCTTTGCTTTTAAATTACGCACAGTGTCGGCTTTTAGATTGCGATTATTATGCGGTCATAGAGCATTGCACTGAAGCACTTGACTTGGATAAAAATAACATAAAGGCTTTATTCCGTCGGGCGAAAGCACATGCAGGGGCATGGAATCCGGTAGAAGCCCGTAGGGATTTTCTCAAAGCTGCGGAGTTAGATCCAGGTCTAAAAGCGGCTGTAAATAAGGAATTACAAGCGCTCGATGAAGGGCAACGTATCAGGGATGCCGAGGATAAAAAACGACTGCAAAAGCTCTTCTAGAAATTAACAGCCTCATTGCGTAAGTCGTAAATTAGGTTAAATTGTACGACTCGACAACAGCAGCATTGTCTATTGTCGTACTGAAATAAGTAAACGACCAAAAGCGTCGAAAACTATACAGTGCTGCCAAGGTTTTCCGTTTTAATACACTAGTCGATTGGAAATTTTAGGCAATGACGTGAAATTTTCGATACGATTCGACTCGAAAAACGACTTGCATTCGACACGACTCACAATGAGGGTCTAAGTATATGAAATTTACTAGAAACATTTGTTGTTTACTGTTATAAGTTGTACGTGTTCCTTAGCTTTTGTATTGAAATCATGTGAGCAGCAATACAACATCGAGAGAAGTTAAATATCGTCGTTTTAGGTACAAAACCGCGTATCGTCATTCTGCAAAACCACGTAACTGACATTGGCTGCCAAAAATTGGATTTGCTCACACAAGCTCTTGGCTCAATCCTTATCCATTCGCTTGAAATATACTAGCCAGAAATGCGATTGCTTTATAAAATAGAGAACCAATTTGAAATATGAGTGTTTTTAAGCTCTAGAAAATAAATCCTACAAGTTCACATGCACGGTTTTGCATTTCGCTGATACGCGGTTTTGCACTTTTAACTACGATATATTTCCCAAGTATTTCGAAGTTGTTTTTAAACTAAAACAACTACTATCTAATATAGCAGAGAAATTTAAGACGCATAGCCGATTTAGTATAACACTTTTTTATTTCGATACGCCCAGAAAGATTTAATGTCATATGTATTGGCATTAGTAGTGAATCTGTTAATATTGAAGGGGTTAGAACCATAAGGGTCTAAGTGACATTTTTTGAAAATATAAGTTATACCCATATTTGTATAGTTAAATATAGTTTATTTGGTGACAAAGAGTAAACATTCCTTGAATTAGTTAATTAACTGGCATTCATTTAGGCAAGAATCATTTCAAATGCATTTAGCCAGAATTTACAATAAGTAATCAACTTTAACCTTAATTATCTTACACAAATTTCAGATCTACTTAGACCGTTTTGATTCTAACCCCTTTAATTGTTATTTTATCTTAGTTTAAATTGTTTAAATTAGGCGAGGAACTATAACTAAATTAAATGTATTCTCTAGCCTTGTGTTTATTTGCATTTTTATTAACATTAAATCTTAAAGATATACATACATATACGGACTATATCAATAATGGCCATTACGATTTACAACAACTACAGATCGAAATTATTAAAAGTTAGGCGAGTAAAACGTAGGATTTACGTTTCGAAAAACAAATTTGACGATGAATCACATTTTCGACCACAATTTAATTTAAAGGATGGAGCCCTAACAGCTAACAGCGTTTCATGCTCATATACTTATTCTAATTTTTGATAATTTTGCTACTGAAACATACTACATACGCGTCAATCGCCCACTTCCGCCACCAGGTGCCCCCTCGGCTTCTCCGCGCTGTTTAATATCATCTGTTCGCCAAATGAAAGGCTCCAGGCGATCTTCAATATCGAGAAAATTATTTATAGCTTCCAGACTAGCAATATTGTCATGGAGCAAAGAATTACATCGACTTAGCTGTTGCGAAATAGTACGCACTCTGGAAAACTGCTCGGCGTAAGCGGCATAAGTTTTCTGCATATCGACAAAGGAAGCAAAAAGAGTCGTTATAGAATTACTAACCATCTTTGTACGTTCGACAAGATGATTTTGCTCCTGCGCTACTTGTGTAGCGCAAATATTTAAATGTGTCTGCATTCGACAGCAAATATTTACTAAATGCTGTGAATTTAAACGCTCTAAAATTTCTTGATCTCGTGTAAACGCCGCAGTTGTAATAGAATCGCGCAGCACTGGCAGAAATTGTGGAATATTTCGCAAACGCGTTAAATCGGCATCAGCGTCATAGTCTGCGTCCCGCGCACCGGGCTTAACAATCACTATTGTGCCTGAAGTGGATTGCGGACGCTTCGGAGTAGCACCGAAGGACTTGCGTATCCCGGTATTACGATTTATATTACTCTGTTGTTGATGTCTACTATGTGGCTTGTTGCGTATTTTCGGTGAGTCACCAATAGGGCGATCCGTATAGGAAACATAAGGCAAATCAGAGCAAACACTCAGCGGTGGTGAGGGTGGCCGACTTAGCTCTAAAGAGGTAGTTGGCGATGCAGTTACTGCTACTGTCTCAACGATATGTTTGCTACCTCGGTTGGTGCTGCCACTGTTGGAACTTTGTCGACCTGCACGTCTTTTCGCGCTCCCTGTGGGTGTGGTACTGTGTGATTGCCGATTATTGCCAAGAGAAATTTTCAAATCGCCTTCAAAAATTTCGCGGCCATCCGCCTCTGCGCGCTGCTGAGAATGCTCGGCGCCCATGTCATGCAATTTTTTTTTTTATGGCCGCCTATGTAATTCCTGATGTCAGGTACAAAGGTTTGGGCTCTATTGATTTTTCGGTTAGTGTTTCATTCAGTGATAACTAAGTTTCAAGTTTAACGATGTAAGACTCAATACACACTTATCCAAAACTGTAGTAAAATATCAGATTTTGTAAACGTTTAAATTTTTGGTTTATTTATAAATGCTTACTTACATTTTTATAATGACCAAAACAAAATGTCCCACGAAAACAACACCAAAACTGCAAAGTATTTGTTGTTTTTTATAACAGCTGTTTATTGTCGGACGATTCACAATAGATGACAACGGTGTGTTCGAGCAAATATCGAATTGTAAACTTTTAAGAAACTTTAAAACCGCTAGATGGGGCCGCTGTCGAGATTTTGTAATTTCAGCTAGGGATGTTCGATATCGTATCGATTATCCTGCTTATCGATATTTCTTGGCACGATAATCGATTTTTTGAATCGATATTCCAAGGTCGATATATCGAAAACATCGATACTTTACCCGCAATATCGATATTTAAGTTGAAATTTATTTTTCATCTACAAAAAAGTGTATGGGAAAATACTAAAGTAGATGCTTATGTGATTTATTTAACTCTTAAGTTTGACAAACCGCTTGAGTCGATCGGCATGCCGTTTTAACCCTCAGTAAATATACAAATTGCAAATAACACAATTTAATATTTTATTCAATTGGGAGTAGGATTTTCAACATCCATTTTTTCGATATCGATATTGTTCAGACCGATATATAGCCATATCGATTCATTAAATCGATTCATGATATCGATACTTTCTTAAATATCGAACATTCCTAATTTCAGCTACTATTGTTACCGCAGAACTCCACAGGCAAACACCGATGGCCTACCAACTGTCATTTTGACGAGCAATATGATTACAAGTTTTTGTGTGTGGGCACTTTGATGTCTTGAAATAGGCATTTGCCGCATGACGCCACCAAACAACATTCTCTCAATTTCGGTGTTTAGAAACATTTAATTCTTTAAAACACTTGCTGAATAATTTCCTAAAACGTAATCATAAATAATCCAATAGAGAACAGATTTTTATTTTGATTTAATATCAAAATTTCGTTGATGTTACCACCAGCACGCTTTCTTTCAAGTAAAAATATGGCTGTCGAACTATCGAATTGCCTGCAATAGATGTCAAGCAATAAGCGCTGACATATATTGCAGCCCATGAGAAATAAGCAGTCTCCATTGGAAAAATATTTTGTGACATGGTTATCACGATATCAGTGTTTTCCTGTGGAGACAGGGCCTTACCTAAACTTATAGCTTGCTTATTTGCAACTGACTTTACTTGTAGATTGCTGACTTGTAACTAACTCACTCCGCAGTGTGGTGGCTCTTATATACCTGCGCTCGCACTCATGGCAACTCTAGAATGTTCTGAAGTTCATCGCTAATTCTCTTTTTCTCCCTATTCGCAGTGTTCATCCATTTGATGTTTCTGATTGGGGAACATTCTACGTCATTCCTCGAACATTCTGCTTATTTCTCGTTGTTTGCTTTGTGCTTTCCAAGTGGACCACCTTCATCTTGTTTCTTGGTCTCCCAACGGTCTGGATCCGATACACTACGTCGTTCAGCCGTTTGACGACCTTATACGGACCTTCCCAGCTGCATTTTGTGGACACACCTTTCTTCCGTTGCGGATTGTACAGCAACACTAAGTCTTCCTCTTAGAACCTCTCGGAGTTCATTGCCTTATCATACCTGCCTTTCATCTTGTCACTCATAATATGAGTTCGCTTTCTCACAGGAGCATGTATTTCTCTCAACTCCTCTTCCAGGATGTTGGACGTCTTTTACTTAATCCTCCTTGCATCGCCAGTTACTCCGAACTTCAGGTCACTAGGCAAACGGAGCTCACTGCCGAAGATTACCCTTGCAGGAGCTTTACCCGTTGTTTCCTGCATTTCTGACCGGTATCCCATCAGGAACAAGGGTATGCGGACATCCAGATCTTTCTGATTCTTGTCCACGACTTCCGCAAATGCTCTTCCAGGGTTCGGTTGAACCGTTCCACCATGCCATCCGATTGGGGATGAAGAGCCCTTGTTCGAGTTTTCTGGATACCCAGTATCTGGCACATCTCTTGGAACACCGCCGATTCAAAATATCTTCCCTGGTCAGAGTGCAGCTCTATAGGTACGCCGTTTCTCGCAACCCAATTGTAGGTGAATACCTCAGCTACTGTTTTAGCTTCCTGGTTTGGAATCGGGTATACCTCCGGCCATTTGCTAAAGTAGTCCATAACCACAAGGATGTATTTGTTTCCCTGTGCGCTCATAGAAAATGGACCTGCTACATCCATGGAAATCCGTTCAAATGGTGCACCTAAGTTATACTGCTTCATCTGGCCATGACTTCTGGATTTCGGGCCTTTAGCACAGTTAGCAATCCACTCTGCGACCGATTTCCGACAACCAACCCAATAAAACCTCTGCTTAATCTTCTCCAGGGTCTTCGTGATTCCCAGGTGCCCTCCACTAGGACCATTGTGGAATTCCTTGAGTACATCCGGAATTTTTACCCTGGGTACTACTATTAGGTTGAGGGAGCCTGGCCATCTTCACTTTCCCATACCCTGTGCAAACAGCCAGATATTAATTTTAAGCTATTCCATTGTGCCCAGTACGCCTTTGCGATGGGGCTTTCCGTCTACTTCCAGTCCATGCATCAAAAGCTCCAGATCTGGATCTATCGGCTGACACTTTCCTAGCTGTTCTTCCTTCCACTCTTCCGCTGGTGTTATTGTCGTTAGCCGGACGTCTATAATGTCTTCTTTGCCCTCAGCTTTTGAGCAGTGTTTACATTCCAGGCTACATGGTCGACGGGTCATGGCATCAGCATTTCCGTGGACACTTCCCTTAGGGTTGCCAGATTTTGAAACGGAGAAAGGAGTACATTTATATTTTCGATAGAAAAAAGGCAGTACAAGACATAAAAAAGGAGTACATTTTTTTTAATTTTTTGTGCAATTTATTGTTACAAGTTACTATTAATTAGGTAAAAATAAACAAAGATATCTTAGAAATCTTTTTCAAAGTAAAAATAAATAACTAAATGGGTTGTCTTTCCAGTAAGGGCGGTCGTTAAAGAGATGGTGATCGAGGGGGAAGTAGGCGTGGGACCTCCAAACGACCTTTTTGGAGAGGGCTTGCACCGCCATTGACAAAAGTGTTACTCCCGACCACCTCGGCCCCCTATGGTTCCCTAGGGACTCCTTAGAAAAATGGCCAAAAGTCACAATTTTCACTTCCGTTTTTTTGCTTGAAAAATGCTGAATATTCATTTGCACGGGACATTTTATATACCCATGCTAACAGAAGAGGTGCCACATGAAATGTTATACACTTTTGACAAAAGAAGAGTGGTTTCTCCTCTCTTCTCCGGCAACAAGAAAGCAGAACTCTACGCAGCAAGGGTTACAAATCCTAAGCGCGGCCAAAGACCGCCTACGCAGGAAGGAATTCTACGCAAAAATGCTGTGGACGCAAGTGAATATTGTGATTTATGCCGATTTTTCCAAGGAGTTCCTAGGGACCCATAGGTGGCCTAGGTGGACGGGGTTTGCATTTTTGACAATAGCGATTCATGCCCTCTCCAAAATGGGGAGTTGGAGATGTCCCTTCGCTCACCGCCTCTTCAATCACCGCCCTTATAGGAAAGTTTCCCCAACTAAGTTCTACAAAAGAATTCTAGACATTTCCTGAATGTATGGCTATTTTTTTAAATTTAAGCCTCATAATTAATTTAATATTTTTCTGATTTGTATACCCGAGCGCCCTGCACCTACCTGGCTACGACCATGCTTACATCTTTTCACTATCACACTTAACTTTGCTTACTAATTAGTGTTTGCCACAATATGAATGGCAAAGTACAGGGCGTACAATAATAACTGTCGCACAGGTTTTGTGAAAAATAAATGGGTCCTTTATAGATTTTGCGGAAAAAATTATTTTTTGTCAACTTTGCAAATATTCTACTTTAATTTTATTAACTAGTTTTAAAATTTTAACCCTTATTTGCATTTCTCAGCTTTGGGATGTGTATTTGGGAGGTGTATTTTTTCTTAGACTTTGTATAAAAAAAACTGTATAGGGTTCGTCGAATGAATGCCCTCCTTAGTAACCAGTTCCGAGTCCTTTCGATTGCTATGTATAATGGACCCAAATTGGGAAAATTCGCTTATGGTTACAGAAGATATGTAATAAAGTAACCGACGAAGACTTGCGTGCCGCTTGCGCTTTTCTCCCAAACCCGTTGGTAAACCTAAATGAAGGTAAAAATTTAAAAACTAATTAATAAAATTTAAGTAAAAAGTAGAAAATTAACAATAAACTACTTTTTTTACTTGCGCTTTTCTCTCAAAGTGTTTAGCGCCGGTAAACCCAAATGAAGGTTAAAATTTAAAAACGAATTAATAAAGTTTAAGTAAAATCTGTGGATCATTAACAATAAACTCCTTTTTTCGCAAAATCTATAAAAATACCTTTTATTTTTCAAAAACAAAACTGTGCAACAGTTATTATTTTACTCCCTGTATAAAATATTAATAGCTGGAAAAAGGAGTACAAAAGAAGTACAAAACTAAAAAAGGAGTACATTTCCAGTTATTTTTTTTGGGAGTAAAAGGTAGTAAATTGCAATAAAAAGGAGTACGTTTACTCCCAAAGCAGTACGTCTGGCAACTCTAACTTCCCTTGCGGTGCTCAGTAGCGAAGTTATAACTTTGCAGTCTCTCTATCCATCGAGCAAGCTGTCCTTCTGGATTCTTAAACTGTAGTAGCTACTTCAGCGCTGCATGGTCGTTCGAACTCGGAAACGTTGCCCATAGAGGTACTTGTGGAAATGTTAGACGCACTCCACCAACGCTAGTAGTTCTCTTCGAGTTACGCAGTAGTTCCTCTCTGGTTTTCCAATCGACCGGCTATAGTAGGCAACTACCTTCTCCTGCCCATAAATTACCTGCGACAGTACGCCTCCTATGGCATAACTACTAGCATCCGTATCCAAAATGAACGTTGCACATGGAACGGGATACGCTAGCATAGGTGCAGTACATAGCCATTCCTTCAGAGTTTGGAAAGCCTCCTACTGCTCCTTGTTCCTCTCGAAGGTTCTATTTTTCCTCGTGAGCTCGTGGAGGCTATTAGCAACGCTGGCGAAATTCGGAACAAATCGGCGGTAGTAGGTGCAAAGCCCAAGAAAACTTCGTAGTTCGTGCAGGTTCCTAGGTCTTGGCCAATCCTTTAC